TTTTAGAACCCCCTCGGGAGTAACTTCTACGCTACTCATTACAGATCTTTTCATAAACAGGGGAGCAGAACTTGATTGTATTCCAAGCATCAAGGATAGATGGGTTTTACAATCTTTGAATATTGTTAAGTGGTTATAAATCATATATTTGATTTTAAAATGGTAGATAATCATTAAATTATTTCTAATATTTTATGGAAATTATTGATGTTGAGCAAACTCGAGTGGATGAGTTCTATAAGTGTTAGACACCAAAAAAATAAAGAGATCAGGATAAGAATGAAGTAATATATGTAGGCTTGTAAAATATATCAATCATCTTTAGCAAATGGATGGAAAATTTCAATGTAAGTCTATGTGTCAACAAGTAATTGATAGAAGATAAGGTGCCTTTAATATTGATTTTATCGCCTTTTATTCCACTCAAAATTCTTGTTTGCAGATATCCAAATGGACTAACTTTTTTATTCATTGGCTTTGAAGATGTCCTGTGGTATCTAATCATCTTTGAAGTCAGTAACTTCAAGTTCACTATGAACTCATTGTACACCTAAAGCACTAAGTAATTATGTGTTAAAACAATATTAACCTAAGAAGTTAGAATATTATTGGTTAGCATTGATTTATTTTTAATAATAATATATGCGTAGTTTAATATATACTCATTATTCTATTTAATGAGAATTGGATTATAAACTAATTGGTGCCAAGATAATTAAGGGCATGACTTTGAATAAAAATATTACTTGAGTATAAGTAATATGTTAAATTTGGTAGAGATTAAGTGAGAAAATATACTAAAAATTATCTATAACTTGTATTGAAAATATCAATTTTATGCCTAAAAGCTGTAATGATGCAATAAATTTTGGGCATGAAAATTCCACAGGAGAAGAAATTGGAGGAAATAAAAAATTTACAACACTAGCGCTATAGTACCACCAAACTAGTGTCACAGTGCTATATTGGGAAAATTCCCAACCATATTCCTATGAGCAGATCATCAATTAGGAGTGCTTTAGAGTTAGGATATGGCACCATATTGTCAGTGTTTACATTGATGTATTGCTAGTTCAGGTTAATTGGAAGAAAAAAATAGAGGGTGTGGTGCCTCAGCACCCTCAAATAGTACATATGTGTATGTTAATAGTGCCTTTTCCTAGAGCACCACGACACCAGCCTAAGCCACCCATGGAGGAAAAAAGATAAAGAGTACAGTGCCACAACATTATTCAGGAGCACCACAGTGTTAGACCTTGAGTTACGACATGTCAATCAACCAAATAGTCTTTTTGTGGTGATTTTTATGATTTTGAGCATGATTTTAGTGAGTTAGACACTGGTGACCACATACTGGTAAGGGGAATTATGAGTGAGTTTGAACTTTCAAGAATATTTTAGCCTTCAAAGAGTGTGAGAGCGACATTTGTGAGTGTAGAGAGCAAAGTGTGGAACAAAAGGAGGCTTTTAAAAAGAGAATTTAGGAAGGGCACTCATTTCAATTTTTTTTATTATATTTTATTGTGTTGCACTATTGTGGTTTTAATGAAAATTTTCATTGTGTATGGAAGAAATATTTAGAGGCTAATTTCCCATGCTTTAGATTTGTGGTTTTAAACTAAAGTTTTACTAAACTTTGAGTTTTAGGATTTTTTTTTATTATTCTTGGTCACCTTATCTTCATTTTCATTGAGTACATGTAAGTGACCATATATGCATATCAAATTATATAAGATTTTAAAATTTTGACATAGTTCATAAAAATATATATAGGGTAGTAACTATAACTTTAATAGAATAGACATACATCTACTGGATTTTAGTAATCAAAAGAGATATGGGGGTATCAATTATTTTTTTAATAGAACACATAAACATTTAGTGAACTGATTTGAAGGATTTAATTTTTTATGCTGTTCACAGAGACTATAAAATATTTTTATTCTTGGATGATAGTGAAATCTTTATAATAATTGCAAATTCAAAGACTTACTACAATATATAAACTCACTTTAATAATCATTACAAACCTCAAATATTCTATTTGTTGAATAAATCATTAGTATGAAGATAACTACAATTAGATTTCTATAGATCTCTAGCTACTTTTTTTAATCTTATTTTGATATGGACACACAAATAATATTATCTCCAACACATTATGCTCTGATGGCGCCATGTTTCACCTTTTATTCTCTGTGCACTTCGTCAGGTCACATCTCTTAGTTTATCTAGCCCTAACATAGAGCTTGCTCTAAGTCCTGTTTGCCTTCAGAGTGAGTAAATTGTTAACTAGCTAGGCTTCATCACCGACGAAACAACACAAGGTGAGATTGTTGGACAAACCCTTCTTTGGTTTAGCTTGTAGAAGGATATCCATAAGATGATTTGTGCATTGGTGGTGCATGTTCAATATCCCTTATTCGACTACTCATAGTCATTTGCTCGTACCCAGCTACTCATCGAATCTCAGTTTGATTGATTGGCTGAGAAGCCCAAAAGTCTTCCCAGTCCTCTATTGACCAAAAAAGATTTTTTTACATAGAACATACTTAAATTTTTGACATCCCATACAAAACATCACTATCACTTATTCCTTAAAAATAAAATATATATCATGCATATGCATTTGATACCAAACTATTTTAAATATAATTATAAAATTTTAAGTAGTAGATTTATAAATACGCAAAATTATGTGTTATATGTATAAATTTCTCTCAAAATTTTAAAAGTTGTCTTTTAAGTGAAAATGATATATATTTTTTTAGCGTTATTATATTTTATCATACTTGATTTCCAAAATTATGTGTTATTTGTATAAATTTCTCTCAAAATTTTAAAAGTTGTGACTTTTAAGTGAAAATGATATATATATTTTTTAGCGTTATTATATTTTATCATACTTGATTTAAAAAGTTATTTCTCATTATAATTTTTTATTAAGAAACTTTAAAAAAAATCAAGCTTTGAGAACAAAATATTAAAAAATAAAATAAAAATTCAGTTAAATACATATTAACAATATTGCCATTGCCCCAACTTGTCTTATAATTAAAAGCGAAATTGTTTTTTTGAGAAACTTAAAAAAAAAATCAAACTTTGAGAACAAAATATTAAAATATAAAATAAAAATTCAGTTAAACACATATTAACAATAATGCCATTGCCCCAACTTGTCTTATAATTAAAAGCGAATTACAAGTGTATCGACAGCCGCGTTAGGTGCGCGGTTGGTGGGAGAACGCTCTTAAAATCGAACTCTGCTTCCCACACACTCGCAGCCTTCCCCTCTATCTTCCCCTCCAATCTCACTCCACCCAATCAATGGGCAGCCACAACACCAACGCCGATGGCCCTAGAGACGACGAGGCCGCCTGCCTCTATGCGATGCAGCTCATCAGCTTCTCCGTCCTCCCCATGACCCTCAAAGCCGCCATCGAACTCAAACTTCTGGAAACCATCTCCCTTGCCGGCCCCGGTGCTCTGCTCTCCCCAGCCGAAATCGCCTCCCGCATCCCCTCCATCTCAAACCCCCAAGCCCCCATCATGCTAGATCGCATTCTCCGCCTACTCGCGAGCTATTCTATCATCACCTGCTCCGTCTCCCCTTCCGGCGAGCGCCGCTACGGCCCCGCTCCTGTTTGTAAGTATCTCACCCCCAACGATGATGGGGTTTCGATGGCTGCCCTCTCTCTAATGAATCAGGATAAGGTGTTGATGGAGAGCTGGTATCATCTCAAGGATGCGGTAATCGAAGGCGGTATTCCGTTCAATAAGGCCTATGGAATGACGGCGTTTGAGTACCACGGAACGGATCCGAGGTTCAATAAGGTGTTTAACAATGGGATGTCCGGTCATTCGACCATTATTACCAACAAATTGTTGGAGATTTATGAGGGTTTTGATGGATTGGGTTCGTTGGTTGATGTCGGCGGTGGTGTGGGAGCGACATTGGGGAAGATTACCGCCAAATATGGAGGGATTAGAGGAATTAATTTTGATCTTCCGCATGTTATTTCTGAAGCCCCGCCGCTTCCAAGTTCGTCTTCTTGATTCCATAAGCTTTGATTATTTGGTTTTTTTTGTTTATTGGAATATACTAATGCGCGATGGTAACTGCAGGAGTGGAGCATGTGGGTGGTGATATGTTTGAGAGCGTTCCTGCTGCTGATGCCATTTTCATGAAGGTTTGTCTCTTCTCAGCAGGGCTGTCGAAAACTACTGCACTCTTTCATCATGTATTTACATTTCTAACACCTAAACTTTAATTATTGCATTTATACCACCAAAATTTTTCATATTTCATAAAGAATAACATCATTTTAACTTAAAAAGTGAAATAAATCTTTTCATACACAACAAAGGTGACAATTATGTAAAAATTGAATTTTTGGTATTAGATATGTAAATCCTTAAGATTTTGAGTGGTATGTATGCAAATCTTGCTTACTTTTAAATGAAAGTGGTACATTTACATATTGACATCGTCCCAAATAAGGGCTAATGTATCATGACATTAACTGATAATTTGTCACAATTTAACATTAAGCCATTTACACACATATCATATAACTCTTCTGTATGTACATGTCTAACACCAAAACTTCCATATTTGCATGCATAATGCTCAAATGTTTAATTTCACATAATTCTTTATAAGTGAAAACATATTTAACATATTTTAATGCACAAGGTTTTGAAACTAAAGTTTTATCAATATAAACATCAAAATTTACTGTTAGAGTTAGGCTAGTATTTATGTATGTATGCATAAGTAGTAGCATAAATTGCATCCTCTTTGAATGCAAATTCACAACCAAGCTCAAATTTTGTATCGAAAAGAAGCTAAATTCATAAAATTTGGCAGTGGATTCTTCATGATTGGAGCGACGATCATTGCTTGAAATTGTTGAAGAATTGTTGGAAGGCCCTCCCTGAAAATGGCAAAGTGATTGTTGCTGAATGCATTCTTCCGGAAGAGCCTGAACAATCCGTAGCAGCAAGAGGTGTCTTCCATCTTGATCTCATCATGTTGGCTCACAACCCTGGGGGCAAAGAGAGGACGGAGAAGGAGTTCGATTCGTTGGCAAAGAAGGCTGGATTCTCTCAGTTAAAATCCATCTACATTTTTGCAGGCACTTGGGTGATGGAATTCATCAAGTAGATTGTTGTGAGAGGTATTAAATTGCATATGTATTGGCTTTTTTTATCGTGGCTTCATCCAAGTATCCGTCGATCTCTTTTGTTTTCATCATTTCGTGTTTTTGAAGAGTATGTTTGAGTTTTCTTTTTTTTGTTTTTGTTTTTGATGAGTAAAAATATTTGATTATTGTTCACTGTTAAGCTCATCATTCTCATTGGTTTTATACTGACTCTCAAGTATCCTCTTTATCTGCTTTAGATATTGGAGGTTAAAATTTGTCCAATATCTTAAGAAATGGCACATATATGTGCATTCTAGCATCAATTATCTTATGGATGCTTGTCTTGGAAATGCTAAATCATCATAACCCTTATGAAACTTGTTATATATAGATCATTGTTATAATTAATAGAAGGTTGGGCCGTCAAAATTGACTAGTCACGCCAATTCGATCTGAACTCGACTTGAAAAATTCATATTCCGGTTGACGTGAATAATTTGCAGATCGGGTTCAGGGCAGGAATCCTAACCTATTTAATTTTACGGATTGAGTTCTACTGACCTGCCATCCCAAAATTGACTCGATAACCCAAAATGAACTCATTGACATGAATAATTTGCAGATCGGATTCATGGCAGGAATCCTAACCCATTTAATTTTACGAATTGAGTTCTATTGACCCGTCATCCCAAAATTGACTCGATAACCCAAAATGAACTCCATATCGACTTGTCAATCTGAAATTGATCCCAAGATTGACTCAAAATCGACCCGAATAGTTATTATATCTTATGTTAAACGAGTTATACTAGTCGGTTCTGGCTAGCGGGTTGTTCGGTCCGCCGCTTTGGGTTGGGCCAATTTCAAGTCAAGCCCTGATTCATCCTGCCAACCCACCCGATTTGATACCCCTACTAAAAGGCGATATTTAAACAAAGATATCAAGCCTATCTTTTTTCTAAAGGATGGTGTTCTTCACTATTTTCTTTGCAAGTGGCACATGTAAATACAATTGATTACTTGATGCATTCAAGCATTAAAATAAAGTTATCAACAGTAAAGAATTCATGCAACATTAGAAAAACACAAAATAAAATAAAACTAAATTATGCTGCTGAATGTCATTTCGTTGGAACTTCACAATTGAAGCGAGATCCTTTGGTACTCAACCATGTAATTGCATGCATCATACTGCTCGATTGACATTGAAATCAACTATTGGTTTAGAAGAGGATACCAAAATGCTTAATAAACTATAGCAGCCATCGAGAGTGCCATAGAACTGATCTGTAAATGAGGCAAATGTCTTGTTATTCTTTTGATCCGATCATCAACCCGGCAACACCTAACGACTATCTTGACCAAATAGAGCTCACAACTTATGCAAAGTGAAGATTGAAATCTTGTTATGTTAAGGCTGTCATGTCCCTTTTTGTTTTGTTTGTCTTATTCTGTTTTATAATCCCTCTTTTCAAGCAAATTTTTTGTTTTCAATGTCACCAGGTTGCCTTTATCTAAAGACTGCAGTGAGGATGATGATGGAAAAAAGTATGAAAGAGAAAGTAAATTAAAATGTATTAGACAAATGAATAAAAATGGTATGAAGAGCTTTTATAGGGCAATTTCCATAACATGAGTCAAGAACACAAGTTCAAATGAATTAGACCAACACAACTCAAGCATATCCATGAAAATAACCTATAGTAATCCTCCATATATAACCAGTGAATTTAAATTTATTTTTGCTCTAGGTTCTTTAGCATTTTTACAGGAGCGTGTTTTAATGGTTAACTATATCTAAGGTGTTATCTTATAACACTCTTAATTATAAAAATTTTACCTATGTTCTAGGATCTATCGATGGGACATACCAATGAATAACATCAGCATTTCAGTAGGAGTTATCTTAAATCTTAAGGCTAAACTAGGTTATTGGGTGGAGGGTAGATCATTATATCTCAAAGGGCATTTGCCTCTCAACAGAGAGGTCCAAAGTAGGGCTGTCAAAAAAGCTCGTTGTTCGCGAACAGTTCGTGTTCGGTTCGTCATTGAGTTTGTGTTCGATTCGTTCGATAAGTAGACGAGACTAACATGAACAAATTTTTTTCGTTTGGTTAGTTAAATGAACCAAACACGAACAGTGATGCGTTCGTT